GGAAGGAAATAAAGGAGAAAAAAGATACAAGCTGTATAGAAGATTTTGTTTGTGTCCATATCCAGGAATACCAAAAAGGTACCTAGAGTATTGGTTTAAATTTACAAAATCTGCATGTAGTGAGTGAACTCTTTTTTGTATGTGTGACAAAGTTTTCATAAAAACCAAATGTCTTTCTAGGGACCACAAAGCAGAAGAGTCTAGGTGTCTCGTAATCATCTTATTAACATATCTTCAAAGGCCAGTTCACATCAGAGGGATTGTGTATAGGAATGTGTCAGGGGGCGTTATGGGGGGTAGGGCAGGGGAAGGTCAATGGAAAATGAAAAGAATCACCTAAAACATAAGAAAATGCAAATCAAATGAGAGAAGGACACATCAGAAAGCAGCCTCTTCATGGTGACTCAGAGGCCATGCTCAGAGTTTCTTCATCATCATGGCACCAGAGGCCTTCCTGTGGGAAGAGGTAATCCGGTACTGACCAATGGCTAAGTAATTAGACTCTCCCTCACTCCAATACAACACCCAAGACACTGCCTCCTGACAACTGTGCATGTTGCCTACCCTTGTAGTGTTTGCCCTACAGAAAAGGATTGTGGAGCCAGACTGCTGTGACTGTTCTGGGCGGTAATCATATGTTTCATTGAACACTGGTAAATCTGCACATTACATTCAAGTGAGTCTGGCACACAGCTCCATCTCCTTTACTATAATCAGAACCTGATCATTAATTAGAGCATTGTCAAAATTGTCCTTCTGGCACTAACAGTTAGTAAACATTGCAAGTGATAATATTTCTTTGTGGTAAATTTTTTTCTTTTTCTTTTCTTTTTTTTTTTCTTATTTTACATATCGATCCCAGTTCCCTCTCCATCCCTCCCTCTCACTCTCCAACCCTCCCATGCCCCCCCAACCACCCTCCCATCCCATTCCCCACACACACACTCCACAGGGAGGGTGATGCCTTCCAGTAAATTTTTTTAATGACATGGATTTCCATGCCCACAGGTTGCTTTGGAGAGGATTTTTGTTCTTGCAGGAAAAGAATAGGATAAAAATAATCCTTAAACTAGAGCCTCAGAGTATAAATAGACAATGTTAACTCCAACAGAGGTATTAAAATTAAATGCTGGACAAATATATAAATGTTCAAAAATGTATGTTTTATATAAAAATAATCCTGACTTCTGATTATTGGTTGGTCACTCCATTCCCTGGAACAATTAGGTAACTAATCACTAAACTAGATATGTCTTCTGTCCTATAACTGAGCATGTTTTGGCATGCGGTGTGGAGAAGACTAAGCAAACTAGAGATGACCTTCACATCTTCCTTTAAATAATGATTACTATAGCATTTGATTCTTAGAAAGTGCTCGTTTCTTTTTCATTTCTTCTTCACTTAACCTTATGAAATGAAATTGTCATCATCAGAAAGCAAAAGAAGAGAATGTATGATGTGTACCAAGGCCAAAGACAGGCTGGAAACCAAGTCTCTCTGGTTCCTAAGTCCCAAGTCTTGTCTTCACATTGAGTCCCACAAGAGTGTTGGCCTGTGGCTTCCGTCCATTGAACCCCTCAAGTTCCTTCTTTCCCCAGAATTCCCCACGTGTAGACACAAGAATGCTCACGGCTGCTTCCCTGGCATTGTCTGGTCTTTGTGAGTCTGACAGCCAAGGGTGTTAAGGGCAGCACTCAGCCAGTCAACAGCTGAGCCGTCTCCAAGGCAGGTGTCTGTTTGCTGAGAGCCAATGGCAAAGCTCAATGCTGTCTCCAGGAAAGCAGTAATAAGAAGAGAACAGGGGGCGGGGGTGGGATGAATTACAAGGTAGTAGGCAGGTTGTGTGCTGACATCAGACATTCGAAGGCTTCCTTCTGAGTTCAGAGTTTAGGATTTTGGAGAAGCCCCAAGTGCATGCTTCAGTGGTCAACCCCAGCACAAATACCAGAGGGATGGGAGACAGGGAGGGGGAGGAGAGAGGAGCCTGCTGAGATGGAGGAGATGCCAGGCTGCTGAGCCTGATTGCTCACAATTCCAAAGCAGTGATCACATCTCTTTGTACCCAGTCGTCCCTGACCTCAGCAGCTGTCTCTTCCCGCCGAGATGGTCCTTGCCCAGTAGGACAGTCTATGGCTGCCAATGGGCCAGATTGTATCCCCTGCCCAGCTCTCGGGTTGGGTAGCCACAAGAGTGAATCACTTCTAGGGAAAAGAATTGACATGGATGGAATTTGCCTGAATGTCCAACATTGCCCAGCCATGACCAGAAGGTCACAGGGTGACTTTCAGTCTGAGAGCTGGACTGTTAAAGTGACAACTGGCAAAGCTAAATGCCCATGTACTGAGAGAGCATGTCTCAGTTCTATCCAAGATTAGAGTTGGAGCTGGGGACACAGGAGGATCCTGAAGTCTGTGACTGTGTAACTCACAGTTGAAGAGATCGTCCGCTGAGATAGGAACTACTCCCTTACTTGGAGTTGAATATAAGCCCCTGAACTCCCAGTGTGCCTTCCAGTTGTGATTTATACCTGTAATGCTTCCCAACACATGGCCGTCTCTACTAAGTATAGCACATCCTGAGGGCTCCTGAGTAGCCATCCCATTGAACTAAATGCAGTGCTCTTGCAAAACACTGGTGCCTCCCTGCAGCTCCACACAATTCTGTGATAAATGGGCAGATCTAGGAAAAGCTCCCAGATATGTCCATCCTTTCAAAATTTTGACTCAGTGTTTTCATCTACAAAATTCACGTGGGAGAATCACACAAGTTACAAATAAATAGCAAGCTTATGTTTTGAGTGTTGTGACTTGAATGTGAAATGTTCCTCATAGATGCATGGGTTTCAGTATTCCGTTCCCACCTGCTGGGGCTGTTTAGGAAAGTTGTGGAACCCTTAAGAAGTAGAACTAAAGGAAATGGGGTTCGGACCTTGAGATTGTATAGACCAATCTTACTTCCTATTCACCTTTTACTTCCTGTCTGTAGAGACAATATGGCCAGCCTGTTTCCCACTCCTACTTCTTGCCATGCCTTACCCCATCATGCTGGAACGTGTCTCCTCCAACTGTAAGCCAGGGAAAAAAATTCTTCCTTCCTCAAACTGCTTATTGTCAGGCATTTTGTCACAGCAATGGATTAATACAGTAAGTTAATGATTTTGTGGTGGGCTGCATCCATAGCTATATCTTTGGCCACATAGAGCTGGCTATGGGTTGAACATGTCTGTTAGTGGGTCCATCTGTCTAATGTTCAAGGCTAGAGAAACAGAAGAACACAGAGAACTGGATAGGTAACTTTCACACAGTAAAACTAGACAATAGGAGTGAAGTCCATCTGGGCTGCCTTTGGACCAGGACTTATGCAGTTCCTGTGAAGCTGCAATATTATGCAGGTGAAGCTATTGGAGCTGTGGAGAATGAGAGATGGATCTAAGAGGCATGGAGAGAGAGAGCAACTGACAAGGACTTCTGGACTGGAAACCAAACTTTCCAGAGCATGATTGAAGTGTACAGACCAGAGATTTAATTCCTTGTCTGCTTTCTCTCATAGTGGATCCCTGAGACTCTGAGCAAAGATTGGGCTATACCATAGACAGTGCAGAATTTAGAAGGGTGCCATTGGTTATGCATGGGATTGCTATGGAAACCATCTGGCAGTATTTATCTGAGCCATGTGTCTACAAACTGTGTTTTTATTTAAATGATCTCTCCCCAGAGGTCATGGATCAGGAAACATAACCTTCGAGAAAAGCATAAGAGAGACAAATAATGAGAAATCACCAGACTCTTGGCTGGGTTGGGTACTTGGTGTGATCAGGGAGGGCAAGTATTCACTGTAGTTACCAGAAAGCTCACCCCAACCTTTCCAGGAAGTCCTGAACACAAGGAGGAGCACTGCAAGACAGCCAGGCAGGAGGTGAGCTGGAGCTCAGAATGTAAGGTGGAAAGCATAAAAGGCCATGCTGAGCAGAAAATAGCACCCAGAGGACTTTGTCCTCTGTTCTGCTGTGTAAGTGCCATGTCCCACCTGAACATCAGAGTACATGGTCCAACTGGGAAGGAGATGTGCACAGTAAAATGAGGGTTTTTATGAAAATTCTGGAAGCCTCCTAGACAATACCAGGTTCTTCGAGGGTCAAAAGGGGCATACAGGTACCATAGCTTATAAAAACCCAAGCTTGGTTTAGTACTACACTGTCATCTTGAGAAATGATGTTGCTATGCTCAGAAATGCTGCTGGGTTTTTGCATGTGCTAGGCAAGTGTTCTACTCCTGTGCTGTATATACATAAGCCTCTTCTTGTTTTTTCTTTATTTGGAAACAACATGCTCCTAAAGTTATTCCAGCTGTTCTTGAATGCAATTTATAGTGCAGGCAAACCTTGAACATATGATCCTCCTGCCACAGCCTGCACCACAAGACCTGGCTTGGAGTTCTTACTAACTTTGCAATAAAGGGATTTGTATTCTTATTTTGCTGAATCTTTTCAATGCTCTTCACAAGTGAATTGTTTGATTGTCCTAAAGACATGGCTCCTTTATTAAATCCAGGGTCTCTTCCTCATAACCAAACCATAAGCCTAAGAGTCTTTCAGGAATCTTGTGTTTTGTGTGTTCAGTAGGTGCCCAATAAACTCACATTCCTAGAATTTTCAAATGGCTCTGTTTGCACATTAATCCATTCAATAAACATTCACAGAAGAGGGAAAAAAAATCTACCCATAAAATGCTTCCAAATAAAAGGTTAACAGCAGGTCCCAGCAATGAATTCCAATACAAGGCTCTCATCAGAGTTGAACTTGGTTTTCAACATCCAGTCAAACAGGTAAAACCATGACTTCAACGTGACTAAATTTTAAAGAAGAAAAGCAAGACAGTATTTATATGGATGTCTCACCCAAGCTCAAACGCAAGCTTTAGTTCCCATTATCTGCTCTCACGGGAGCCCTGCTTGAGCTGAAGAATATGAATGCTTGACTGCCTCCTATTTCTCTCTTGACAGGTGTGAGTAACAGTGAGGTCCGGCAGCCAGGAAAGTCTCCCCACTTCAGTGCCAACTGGATCGTGGGCAGTGCCGACCTGGAGATCATTAATGCCACAACCGGCAAGAGGAGCTGTGGAGGCTCATCCCGGCTCTGCAAGCACGTGTTTTCTGCTCGGTGGGCACGACTACATGGTAGGGTAGGTCGCACCGGTCCTTTCTGGGAAGAAAATTAGCTGTATCCAGGTTCTGGTTAAAGCCCAGAGGAAGCTCCAGGGAAATGGGATGTCATTTTGTCTGCAGTAACTATGAGACAGGACATGCAAACTGATCCCCAGGGTTACTGCCCTTTCTCCAACTAACTGCCCAGGAATTTCCTCCATGCTCTTACAGCTTTGCTACCCAAATGTGCTCCTCAGAGCTTGAGGAGTGTGTCTAGTGAAGTCAAACAACAAAAGAGTATATTGTTGGATCATCTAATCCCACCAGACACTGTGCCAAGCCAATTGGTTTACAAAGCATGTCATGAAAAAGGTACATAAAAGGGCTGGAGAGAAGACTCCATGGTTAGGTACAATTGCTCCTCTAGGTGAGACCAGAGTTCAGTTCCAGAAATCTTGTAGCCACACACAACTTTCTGTAGCTCCAGTTTCAGGGGATCCACTGCCCTCTTTTGGCTTCTGCTGGCACTGCACGCATGTGGCCCACACATATACATCCAGGCCCACACATATACACATAAAATAAAATAATATAATAAACCTCTTTTTAAGACATTAAAAAGAGAAAAAGAAATTAATATTATTCAGAAAGTAATAAGGATTGGCAAGGTAGACTAAATCGACAAAAGCACTTGCCAGCAAGCTTGAAGGACCCAAGTTCAGTCCTCAAGACCTACATGGTAAAAGAAGAGAATTGACTCCTGCAAGTTGCCTTCTGCCCCCCAAATGCACGTTTATAGCATGAACACACACACACGCACACACACAGACACACACACACACACACACGAGGGTGGGAAGGAGGGAGGAAGAGAAAGAGATGGATGGGGAAAAGGGAGACAGGGAGGGAAGGTGAGATGGAGGGAGGGAGGGAGGGAGGAAAGAGAAGGGAATTTCCCAATAAATTTCAAAGATGGTAATTGTCTGAATTAACATTTTCCCCAACCCAGAGGGCTACCCATTTCTACTGCAGCAATGTATCAGAATCTTCTTTCCATTCATAAATAGATAACTACATTTGTGGAGGTTAAAACTCAACTGCAGGCTTTTGTGTAGTTTGAAAGCATAGGCAACTATAATAAAATACAGATCAAAATTAAATCAATGAAGAAAAAGTATTTTGCTCATTTTTTTTTGTATTGGGACATAGCTCATCCAATGAAACCTTTGCTATGAAAGCACAGGAACTTGAGCTAAAGCCCCAGAAACCACGTGAAAACACTGAGCATAGTGGCCTATTAGTTCCCAAAATGGGGTAGGCGAAGACAGGCATATTCCTGGGGCTAGCTATCCACCAGCCTAGACTAATCAGCAAGCTCTGGGCCAGTAGGAGACCTTGTCTTAGAGAAGAGATGGGGACAAAGTTGACACCTTCTGAAGAACATTACTCCTGAGGTTGGCCTCCAGTTGCCATGTTCATCTGCACACATATGTGCACCCATATGATATATACATCCAATAATAGTGTTTGGACTGGTATATTGACCAGTAGAATAGCAGATATACAAATATTTAAGCATTTCTGTCTACTCAGAGAATGTTGAAAATAACAGTCACCTAAGAGTTTGGCAGTAACCTTCTGCCTCTGCCACAACCATGCAGATGTGGGTGTATGGCACCATACGCTTCAGTTCTGCTTAGAATTCTCTACCTCTTTTATGCCCACTCTGGCCCCTTTCCCCATGCCTCATCACTTCCAAAGATTTTGGAAGGTCTGGGAAAGCACCGCTCTTCTTGTCTTACATGTTATCATGAACGTGGTGGCATTGGCCACAAACCCTCTGGGAAGACCCTGTCATGTTATTTGAAGCTCACCTACCACAGGCTTGCTGCTGCCTTCTGTTGGGGGACTGAAGACACAGATGGATATGCTCTCCCTGCCCTACATTGCTCTAACTTTTGCCTCCTATGACCCAGAAGCCCGATAACATCCCATTTTTACTGCCTTTTTACTTAACAAACAGCATAACTCAAAGCCCCTCTTCTCTTCTGCCTGCCATGGTACCATTAGCACACAGACCTACCTTGGTAATCCTTCTCCAAAAAGAATATAAAAAGCTATGGTTTATTATCAGTGCTGTTTCTGTTTCTTTCTGGGTTGCTGAGATTTTGTTTGTTTGTTTGTTTGTGTAGGGGTGTTTTTTTGTTTGGGGGGACTGGGGGTATTTTGAGTCAGTGTCTTTCTATATATCCCAGGCTGGCCTTAAACACACAGCAGTCCTCCTTATTCAGCCTCTAAAGTGCTGAGATTACAGGTGTGTGTCATCACACTCAGCTAAGAAAGCAGTGTTAAATTCTTAATAGGATGTGAGTCATATGTCATATTATACATTTGTTAATCATCTGCACTTCTGATGAAACAAGCAAAGGTTTTTGTCCAGATAGCTGCACTTTGGTTGTTGTGTTTTGTTAATATGTATATTTATTTATACATACAGGAGGGAGGGTGCATGTGCACGAGTTTGGAGGCCAAACGTCAATGCTGAGTGTCTTCCTCAATTGCTTCTCCAAGAAAGCCACCTCCTCAGGCCCTTCCACCATACTGCTAAAGCAATGGAGAAGGAGATGCAAGGGTTGAAATCAAGTGTATTTTGTTAGTGAAAGTCTTCATGTTACTGTGACAAGTTGAATTCACTTCCCCTTTTTTTCCACAGCTAAGCACTCGGATCCCCAGCCATGGAGACACACCGTCCATGTACTGTGAGGCCAAGCTAGGGGCTCACACCTACCAGTCTGTTAAACAGCAGCTCTTCAAGGCTTTTCAGAAAGCTGGTCTTGGCACCTGGGTGAGAAAACCACCAGAGCAAGATCAATTTCTTCTAAGTCTCTAAGTCACTAGACTCCTTTGCTATTGGACCAGAATGAAACTCCTGGAGAGGATGGTGTGGTGTGTCCATCGGTTCTTGACATTTGTTCTCCTTCACTGTTCAGGAACACATGTGTTCATGTTTGGATGAGAGACTAGATTTGAATTTGGCTCATGCTGCTTCTCCCTGGGTTGTTAGTTCCAACAACTCTGTCCACATAGCTAGAGGTAAAGCATTTTTGCATTAGTCCCATCCCTTACTGGGTATCAAAAGGAAATAATCTGTTCAGGTAAAGGGATCTTAGAGGCAAGATTGAAAAATCAGTACTGAAGTATAGCCTCATACTCTGTCCTCTGTGCTTCCTTCCCCTTCAATGGGCCTCTCCAGTGGTGTGATTGAGTCTCACCAGCACAAGTTATATGACTTCAAGATAAGCCACAGGTGAAAAGAAAAGCCATGGGCTCCCCAACTCCAAAGAACCCAATAGAAATGCTATATTCATTCAGGCCTTTCTACCTTCTTCCAAAAAAGGATTTGAGATGACACTGTTAAAGAGAAACTAAAGTACATGAAAACCATGTTTATGACACAAAGAGATAGTTACCTATGACACAAAAGTCATGATCTGTGATCTAAGAAAACAACTTTTAAATTGCCCAGTGGTAGAATGTTTCAAACAAACCCAAGCCTACTCACTTGATAACAACCTTTTCATTACTTTTCATAGATAATGGCAGCCATGGAACTGCAGAATGGTTAACTACTACCCAATAATTTCTATATTAGGTAATAGTAATGAAACTAAGCCTTAGATCAAATTCTGAATTTCTTAAATGGATTTTTATTATAAAGAAAGCACACACACACACACATAAAATGCTCAACAAACTCTTTAGGTTTAAGGAGCTTCTCACTCTCTATCCCTTTAGGTTCCTTAATCATCATCTTGCATGAATAAAATGATAATAATTATAACAATAATAATGATGGCTTAGCTGCCAAAATTAAAGAGAATAGGCATCAAAGTTCAGAGCTAGACACAGACCACTTTAATATTTAGCCTATATCATCATCCCTACACAGAGAAGATTCAGACAAAGGGAAACATGTCACTAACATAGTTTTAGTCAGCCCATATTTCTTGAATTATTTTTTCTACTTGGAGCTCATTTCTAACATTCATCAAGCTAGTTAACATGTGTATAATCTTTTTTATTTTAAAAAAAAATCCCATCTGATGGGCTGTAGAGATGTAGAGAGGACTTGTTACTCCTAGAGAGGATTTTTGTTCAATTCCCAGCACCCACATAGCAGGTTACCACCATCCATAACTCCAGCTCCAGTGGTTACAATATCCTCTTCTTGTCTTTGAGGGTTCCATGCACCCATGCAGTACACTTACATACATGTGGGAAAATTACCATACACATAAAACAAAACTTAATAAATCATTTTTGTCTCATCTGAACTGCATTGTTTTGTTTTTGTTTTAAAAATTGTAGGAGGAACCACAATTCCTAGTTAGAATTCCAGCTCATCAATCATCAATAAAAATACAACAATTACATCATGATGTATATATTGTGACATATATTATAGGTATCATAAGAATGAGGCAAACATGAAATGCATTGAATTGTAGCTATCTGACACAATAAAAAGAAGAGGGGATATATTAATTCCTTGGACTTATTATGAGGCCACATTTATCACTAAAGTCCTTTGAGAAAAGAATATGAGCACCACTGTAAAGACATTTTCAAGATAAACTTTCAAATACATGCAAATGTTTGCAAATAAATGATTTATATTAATCTTTTACAAACACTGAGGAAATGGAATCTTCACTACAATCAAAGGGCCAGCTTCTAGTAATCTCTGATAACTTGATGTATAACTAGGAGGAAGGTAAGAAACCTTGAGAGCTGATTTGTGGCTTAGATGTTGTCTTCCAGCCACTAGGTACAGTTACTTCCTGGCTGAAATCTAAGACCCTCCTTCAAGTCATTTGTATTCTGAGGGGTGGAATGGAGAATGCAGAGTACTTGGTATCAGTGTGCTCCAAATAGTGTTGTTGGTTATAAAAAGATTGGCATTAACTGCAGGATCTTAAACATTACCATCATGTGATGGAAAGAGGAAGAACAGGACACCTTTCATGTATTCTCAGTAAATGCCACCACTTCGGCCTATGCAAGAGACATAGAGAGCAGTTGCTTACCCAATAGTGAACACCATCATGTGCAGTTATGACTCATGGTGTCTAAGGTATGATTTTCCAGAAACAACCCAAACTTTCCTAAAGATGAATATCTCCTGGGGGGAAAAAACAGGTTAAATTCATTCTACCCCTTAGCACTAATGCAGAAATTTACTTATTGATTTTAAGTGTGTGTGTGTGTGTGTGTGTGTGAATGTGTGTGTAGGTGCCTGCAGGAGGCTGAAGAGGGTGACTGAGCCTCTGGAGTTAGAGTTACAGGCAGTTTTTAGACACTGGGTGCTGGGAATCCAACTTAGGTCCTCTGGAATATGCTCTTAATCACTGAGCAAACTCTCCAGCCCTGAGTATTACTTAATAAGTCAATAGGCAATAATAGGAAATTCCTAGAAAGGAGAGATAGAAGATCCACATATGTCTATAGCAGTATAAGATGTTTCTGATGCTACAAATGTGAATTTAAGAGACTATGGCTTTTCCAAAGAGACGTCATGGGAAATGCCTTCTTTAATAGTTGACTACCTTGCAAGATCCTTGTCAAAGCGAATGTGAAATAAGATAGAGATAGGAGGAAGGAAGCAGAGGGTCCCCGAATCTGTACAATGAAAAAAGAGTTGCTGAAGTTACCTAAAGTGAACCCTGCCATATGCTGAGAAGCAGAGGTCAGGAAAAGGCAATCTTCCAGAAACAGGAAAACACAAAGAGGCATTATGAGGGAAGAATGAAAGGCCTGTGACATTTATTATCTGGAGCAGGCAGGTAGCCACATCCAGATTTCGCATCTACAGCATACAGGGACATATGTGTGCTGCCCCTCACCTACAGAAACCCAACCCACTCTAGAAGTAGCTGGTCACAGGCTCTGGCATACATGGAATAAACCCTGAAAGAGTGAATAGGAAAAGTCTAAGAGTTTTTCTCACCTTGGTATCCACAAAAGCATCCCAACCCTACTTTAGGCTGTCCTGCATTTTAACTACTGAATTAGTGTCTTGGGAGTGGCTCAGAAACACCCCATCTGAAGTTTCTATAAGAATGAAACACAAATAGGTCATTTTTCTTTTCATCACCCTGGAAACAAATACAATAGAACTAACCAAAAAGAACATGGATAGACTATAAAGAGGACATGGAGGTATCTTAGCCACCTTGGATGTTCCTTGTCCACCTGATTTATCTCAAAACTAACCCCATATCTCTGATCTTTATACCCTTTGTTTTCAAACCTTCTGTCTTAGTATGGATACACATTCAGTCTCACTTCTAACGTCCAAATAAAAGTCAGAAACATCTTTATCTTCCTCCAATACACATTGCTTTCCTATTATTGAGTTAAACAATTTAAAGTTTCCTGCCTGGCTCTCAGTCAAAAAGCCAGTGTCTATTCATTTGTGAGCCTTTTCACAGGACTGAGCCCCATGGTAAATTCCACGAGGACACAGAAGCTCTGCTCATCCCCCTCCAGCAAAAGATCTCACAACAATGTATAATATCAAGTTACTGAACTTAGGATTTCTTTGGATTTTGTTTGTTTGCCCAGGAAAAGATTTGCAAGTCTCTGACAATCGCTTCCTTTTGACTTCTGTGATCCTCTTTAACCTGTATATATCTATCATGTCACTATTGGTTTTTTGATGTTGTATTGTCTCTTACAAATGTCAGGCTAAGTTACTTTTCCAAAAGATGCATAGCTCATTTTTTCCATATAATTTCCTTTTCACAGGATGGTTCTTACAAATAAATTTAAATGCTTTTTGTATAGTGTTTACCATATTTGATGAGCCATAAATAGTAAATACATAGTATATCAATGCCCAGAATAGAATAGTTGCAGTATTTTGATGAAATCCTATTTTTAGATTATAAATTTCAAGATGAGTCTATAGTATCTTGTTTAAAAAACTTAAAAAGAAAATTGAAATTTAAATAGAGTAGACTTTTTTATTTAGGGAAATGTCTATGATCATTTTTAAGAAGCCATTCTAATAAAAATGACCTAATTGGCCCAAAAAAAGATAATAAATATCACTTTCTAATAGCAACCAAAGGAAATTTAGAAAATTCCTTTCTTTTTATGTACTACCAGTTGACAGCTGTGACCACCTTTTCCAGCCAAAGTCTCAGCATTCAGCAAAGCCTGTTTCTCCATCACTCTTATTTAGGACAATTTTCAGAATTCCGCAGTATCACATAGGATTGTGCTGAACATTTTGAAGAACAATCCTAGCTTTGAATGATTGCAGAACTCATGAAGGAGTAGAGAATGCAAAGTGCCGCCCCAGGAAAGGGTATAACACCAAGAATCAACCTTATCTGGGCAGCGGGAAGAGGTGATATAAAGTTGTTAAGGATGGCTGCACGAGTGGGCACTGAGGTTCTTCAATGGAGGGCTTTGAAAGGTTTGGGCCCAGGGCGCTGTCCGTGGTTCTGACTCATAGTTAAACATGGAAACAACTTTTTCTGGAAACGCCAGGGTATCCGTGGCTCTTGTCACAGTGCTTCCACAAAGTTTGAATCAGATAAGTGATGGTGGAGAAATAAGGAAACAAAAACAAAACAACATATATCTAGGCCACCAGAGAGATGTCATGAAGAGCAAGCAGAGCATTGTCCCACATAGTTTCACCGACCCCAGAAAATGGAGTTGTTCATTCTTCCAGCAATTCTGCTTTCTTAGATTCTTTTCTCATCCCCCAACACCACATTCCTCTAGTTTGTGCTTCCCTCCTACCAAACTTCTGCTCTTTTCGTTCTGGTTCCCCACTATACCTGAGAGGAGTGAAGTAGCAGGCAGATTGGTGCTCACAGTCAAGAAGTTCCCTATGTGTTCATGTGATAACATGATTACAGGGATTTACAACAATCATCCTGAACTCCCAGAGCATGTCCATTTCAGCTGACCTCCAACCAAAAGAATCACAGATGTACACATCTCAAAAAATTTAAAGCGAACAATGTCACCCCTTCAGGGAAATGTACAGAAATAAACCTGGAGAAAATACCACCTTATTTCCCAACTCATCATTTTTAAAGGGTTTGGGGAGATGGTGTACCCTTTTAAAAATAAATATAAAATTATCTGGATTCTAGTGCCTCTTTCACATGGGTACCTGATTTCTATCACCTGTAAGTCTGTGAATTAGTTTAATCAAATTTTTCCCAGCGGTGCCCAGCTAATTTTCAGCACTTTTTAAGTAAAATGGACTTAAAAAACTACTCATTCTTAGTTGATGGTATGTACATTAAAAAGCATGATCGAATGGCAATATTGTAT